GGTGCTCTCACAGCATGGATTCCTCAACTCTGTACCTGCCTGGAGAAAACTCAGCACCAGCAGCTCACCCTCTCCACCCTAGACGAAGCAGGATTTCCTCAGCCACCTCCCTGGAGACTTACCAGGAGTTTCCCAAACCAGTGAAGGTCAAGACAAGAGAAAACAAGAGGCCAGCCATGAATCCACTCGCTTGCAGTGGAGCAGAGTAAGCTGAACACCTTCCTCCAGGGAACAAGCACAGACATGGGGTGGCTGGCAATGCCTCAGGGCCCTCAGCAGCATCCCCACTTCCCCTTTCACACCAACTGTGTGCTTCAACATCTCCCTCCTCACCTCTCTTCCACGGATCTCTTCCATAGCCAGGACTGACCAGGCACAGGGTAAGGGTCAAGATTTCACATTGGTAGCACAAAGATCAAGGAATTGCTGGTACAATATCTAAGCTACTTTGACAGTATGAACACCTGTCTTTTTTAAGTTTTGTATTATGATTTTAACTTAAGCACATGACTGGGCTCAGAGACAGAGAGTACCTTCTGTCTAAAATTCCAATATTCAACTCCTTTCTGGGGGCTTTCCCTATTCACATCACACCTGATCACATCCCAGTTCTTAAAAGCACATCTCCTTAATTCATCAAGTAACACCTCTGAGGGGCCAGACCTCCAGATCAGATGCTGGCTAATGTTTGAGATGCAGTATCATTTGGGAAAGCCAGTCCCAGAGAAAGCTGAAGCCACCCCCTTGAGTACACTTTAATCCTCCTCTTCCATCCAAACCAGGGGACCAGGGTATCCCCCTTACGAACATGCTCTTATCTTTTTGACATGAAATGTGCAGAACCCACAGACCATTCCCAGGGCAGGAAGACTCACTTGAAGCTCAAGTTGAAGCCCAGAGGGTTGCACGGCCACCTTGGGCTGTTTGCTGGACTGTGTGTGACCCTGCTCTCACCCACAGCCACTGGCAGCACAGGGACCACCATCCCCATCTGCAGCACTGCCTCTGCTTTTCTGGGTAACTGCACCACTGAGCACTGAAGTTTTTCATCTCCCAATTGCTTTTCCCTGTGTTACTTCAGAAAAAAAACCACAACCCACACACTGAGCTACCACCAAGATGACTGGGACAGAGGAGCCTGTCCAAGCAGATGCTGGGTGAGAGCTATCAACCCCCCACAGAGGCAATCTCGGAAGACCCTGCAATGAGGAGAGGAAACAAAAAAGCCTGTGAGCAGCTGAGGGAGACGTTCATTCTATCGATTGTGTAAACTGTCAGTGGAGTGGCAATGAGCAATTTTTTTTTTTTTTTTTTTGTTTCTGTCCTGGGGAATAATCCAGCCTGATAATTAGTACATAAGAGATAAGTGGAAAATGAGACATCTAGCGAGGGTGGTTCAAGCCTCCTCATGACATTGATAATGTGCAGATACATAGATCACTGTCGGGGCAAACTGCCACTGTGAGCCTGTGTCTTCCCATTGCCTCATCAATCCATCATCCGCTTAGCTACTGACACCTTGGCAGGCACACACCACCAGCCCTGCATTTGAATTGAGAGGAGCAGGCTCCACCAGGGAATACAGATTTAAAAATCTAAGATTCAAATTTGTTTAAGTATTGTGAACAGCAATTCCCTTGCAAGGCATCTTCCTTGCCCTTTTGCCAAGGGGGAACAGTTGGGTCTTTGTTAGAAGTACAAATTGCTTCTTAATGCAAAGGATAAAGCAGAGCCCAGGCACCTCCTTAGAATTCCTCCTGGCTCCTGCTAATGCTGCTGCATGTCAATTTTAATTTTTTGAAATTTAAACCAAGGGCTTTGTGTCTAAGCTCCATTTCATTGAAGGAGGGGGGAGGAATAGTCAAAAAGGATTACGGATCCGGTGGGAATTGAGGATCCATAGCAATTATACTTCATTTGAATGGTCTCAGACACTGGATTTAATCAAATTCTAAATAGTACAAATCGACAAGACATAAGAGATTGATAAGTGTCTAACACGTGTACCTGGTTATGAACTCTGCTTCCCTCAGCAGGAGATGTTTGAAGACAGGATGGAAGAATTGGTTTCTGCCTTTGACCCTCCCCTTCCAGCCAACGAGAAGACAATACCCACTGAGGACTAGGCAGGAGACAGGAGTGACTGTAAGAACTTGGTCATCATGGGACTGCCCCAAAGTGGGGCTGGAACAAGTCTATCTGACTGTGACTCCCTTTCCTTCTGCAAAACCAGGGCAGGGGCAAAGCTCCAGCCTTGGCAGAGCTGTTTCAGACCAGCTCCTGTCTCTCTCATCTGTGAAACTGCACTAACACTGGGAAGGGCACACAGCTGATAGGGAGGTAAGACTTTCAGGAGGGAAAAATGAAATGACAAGACAGTAAAATTAAAGTAAGTGCTTTTGTAAATCAATTTAGCTCTTCTAGCTTCAGCAGAGCAGTCCCAATTTACCCAAACTGAGGAGGTTACCCACTGGGGTGATGATGACAAATGCACCTCCTCCACCAAAGGCTCAGAACCACACGCACTACTGACATACCTATGCATTCTGAAAAAAGACCAAGAGTGACTGGGATTTACAGAGGACCATCAGGAGAAAACCCTTCTAAATGGTCTGAATCCATCAGTCTTGAGCGAGTTTTCTCACCCAGCCCTTCTCAGGCACTGTGCAGACCCATCTCCAGTCAGGTGTGGTTTCCAACCCATACACACACTGCAAGTGCAAGGGCTTAGACAAACTCTCTCCCCTGCAGCCTTCTTAACATTTGTCAAGTATGTTACAGAAACGTGGCATTCCATAATCACCGATTAAACTGCTTTTTCTGTACTTCACTAACCTCTGGATCAGGTTTTAACCCAGTAAATCTGTTTAGGAGATTTGCTCCACACCCTCACTTTCACCTCTTGATAATTGTGTGCCTTCTTTTCACAAAACTGCATAAAAGGTGAAGCTTTTCCTCTCTCTCTCCTTCTTCCCAGCCCCTTTGAACCTTATTGAAGACCGAGGCAACAAACCCCATCCTAACTTTAAATATGACTATAAACCTAAGGGACTGAAATGACCCCCTCCTTTACTCCCCACCCTCCTGTGGCACCACCACAGTGCTGCTTTTTAGCACTGGAAGAGACAGAAAGCAAGAAGACATTGTCTAAAAACATAATTTAATGTGGTATTTGGGTGGCTGTGGTCAATGACCAAATTCTTTTGCAGACAGAAACAGGTTTGACGTTAATGACACCATCATTCACACGAGCATTGCATTGCACAGAAAGAAAAGTTTACACTTGACCCCATACAAAGCAGCAGAGGAAAAAAACTGTTATGATCCAGTCCCACTTTGTGAGTAGTCCATCTGAAAATTCATCATCGTCATTAATACTTATTGATGAAAAAACGTGACCTGTTCAAATTCCATGTGTGACACAGTCCAAACTCTGGGATCTTTTAAACCCTCCTGGAACCACTCGAGAGTTTCAAGCTGCCAAGTTCCTCACGTGACACACGAAACACTCAGGCAGACAAAGGGAGAGTGGGGGTCAGAAGAAACGTGGGAGAGTAAGGAAGGGGTTCACTTTGTTTCATTTCTATTTCGTTTCCATAAGGGTGAAAATAAAAACATATAAACTGATAATGAAGCTAAAGTAACCTGCGGAGACAGTGGACACCAGCAGGAAGAGCAGCACGATGGGGTATGGAATTGCCAAACAGCCCCATGTGCATCAGTGGCGGGGCCAGTTGTGTCGTGCCACTTGTGTGTTAATCGGGGTACAAAAGAAAGCCAGAGAAAGTGCTGTACTTATTGTTGTTGCCTCCGTGTGCTTTGCCTCCATCCAGCTTGACATACACTTCGTCCCCGGAGTCCAGGTGCAGCACCACGCTGTTGCTGGCGTAGTCGTAGTTCTGGTCTGCGTCTTGGGCGATGGCACTGGCCCGCACCTGCCAACACAGCCGCTGGGCACATCAGCACCCCTATCCCTCTTGCCCAGCACCTCTATTACCCCTCCCAGTCACTCTTCTGCAGACCCCCAATGAGTCCTCCACGTACTTCTATTCCGGCCCCTCCATCAGTCCCCCAGCCCCTCTTTCTCAGCCCCTCCATCAATGCCCCGAGTGCCTCTTTCCCAACCCCTCCACTACTCTGTGTCCTCCCTCCTGCCTCTGTCCTCGGTTCTCCCTCTCCCCAGTCCAGCAGAAAAATTTGCAAGCTGGGAGCTCGGAATTTGTCGCGGCTCTAGAGGTGCACCCCCGCCCCGACGGCGCGAAGGATGCTCCCGCTGGCTCTTTTCCCGGGAGCGGCGGTGCCCGCGGGACGGGGACGATGGGAGGGGGACCCGGGCGGAGAGGATGCGCGGGAGAGCGGCGGAACCCACCTGGCCGTTCTTGCAGAGGTCGGCCCACATGCTGGTGCCGTCGCCGCCGCGCATGAGGATGTGGTAGGTGAAGAAGTAGATGCCGCGCACCTGGCAGGTGAACTTGCCGCTGGCCGGGTCGTAGTGGTTGCCCAGGTTGGTCACCACGTCGTCGAACTTGAGGACCTCATAGCCCTCGTGGGGGCTCTTGAGCCCCACGTAGAAGGCGATGCGCGGCCCGCTGAAGGCGGCGCTCAGCCCGCCCGCCGCCTCGCCGCCCGCCGCCGCCCCGCCGCCGCTCCCGCCGCCGCCCGCCAGCGCCAGCCCGGGCAGCCCCGGCTTCCCCGCGTCGCCCCGCTCCCCCGGCGGGCCCCGCGGCCCCGGCGGCCCCGGCTCCCCGGGCGGCCCGCGGGGGCCCGGCTTGCCCGGCCGGCCCGGCTCCCCCTTGGGTCCCTGGACGAAGGGCGGCGGGGCGTTGGCGCCCAGGTCCTGCAGGGCCTCCACGGCGGCCGTGCTGCCGGGCCCGGGCGGCCGCCCGCCGCTGTACGGGTCGCAGATCATGCGGCAGGTGCCCATCATCTCGTAGTGCGCGCCGGTGTCGGCGGGCGCCTGCAGCAGCAGCAGGGGCACGGCGACCAGCAGCGCGACGGCCATGGCCAGGGCGAGCCCGGCGGCGGCCAGCAGCCGCCTCCTCCGCTGCCAGAGCCGGGCGGCGGCGGCGAGCAGGTCCTCCTTGCCGTGCGAGGCAATGGTGGCGCGGGGGGCCGGCCGCTCCCTGCGGGGGACGGCAAGAAGAGGCGGTGAGACCCCGCCGCCGGCGCCTCCCCGCCCGGCCCCCGCCTCAGCCCGCCCGCCGGCCGGCCGGCAGCCCCGCCATGCCGAGAGCCGCCCCGCTCCGCTCCGAGGGGACGCGGCGCCCCGTCCGCCCGCCGGGGCTGGGCGGGCGCGGGGGGCGTCGCCGCGGCGAGCGGGCGCCCGGCTCTACCCTCGGTGCCGCGGGGGGGACGGGCTCGCCCGCCCCCGTCGCCGCCCCGACGTGGGGGGCGCGGGCAGGGCGGACCCACCTGCGGGGGGCCGGGGCGGAGCCGCCTGGGGGGCTCCGGGGCGCCGCCGTCGTTGCGGTCCGCGGGGCGCCCGTCTGCCGCCGCCGGCCGCGCCGAGCGCCGGTGGCGGCGCGGCCCCCGGGCGGGGCGGGCGGAGGGGAGGGGAGAGGCGGCGGGGCGTCCCGCGCGTCCCCGGGCGCTCCGGCTGCGGGGCAGACCGCGCCCGCCCCGCCGTCACCGGCGGAGTCACTGCGGTGCCGCCCAACCTGCGCCCCGCTGAAGGCGGGACGGCCGGGACGCACGGCGCTGTCCCGTTCACCTGCCGCCTGAAGCGCTGCCTCCCTGCCTCTCTCCATCCCTTCGTCCCTCCGTCCCTCTGCCCGATGCCCGGACGGCGGCCGGAGCCCCGGTCCCGCCGGGGTGAGCTCCCTGCCGCCGCCGACATGCGCAGCTTTCCGCGGGAGGGGGCCGGGAAAGCCCCGGCCAGGCAGCAGGTCACCTCAGAGCGGTCCCCGCGGCTTCCTCAGGCTCCCCGCCTCCTGCCTCGGCGGCCCAGAGACGAGCGGGACAACATCGCGGCTGCATCTTGCTCCTCAACACATCCAAGTGTTACCCCTGTCCCGGTTTTCCAGAGGCAGGCAGGGCTTGCCAAGTGAAAAGGGAGCCCTAGGAAGAAATGCCTTTAGCGGAGTTCAGGTTAGGTTACAGCACGGTGCTCCGTAGTTTCCCTGCGTAATGACGGCTTCAAATCAAATGGGGTTTCCCCCGAGAAAACTGTGATTAATTGCCTGTGATTTTCCGAGTAAACGGTGGTAGCACAGCGGGAGCTCTGGCATCGTAAACTGCCTGCGGAGATCTCCCCTGGAGAGAAAGTTGGGATCTCACCCACGTGTCTGCGAGCGGCGGGTTAAGCACCCGTCCTGGCAGGCAGGAAAAGAGAGATACAGGGATTACACAGATTGCTTCAGGGCAACATCCCGGTGTCCCTCGGTGCGTCGGAAGGGTGAATTCCCAGCGGGCTCGCCGGAGCTGGAGGCAGCGTTTGGTCATACAGCAGGCAGAGCTGCAGGTCGAAGGAGCGAGCCGCCCAGTCTGATCCAGCGCCTGCTGCAGCTGATGGCCTGGAGGCATCGTATGCAAATTGGGACATACAGGCTTCTTCCAAGAGCTGTGCAAGTGCCCCAAAAGGACTTGGGACTCTTTTGATAGTTTTTCTTGACGTTTAAAGAGGGGACATCAAGGTTTTCCTGTCTGGAGTGCAGCACTTCAGGACCAGATCTCGTCTCAGTTACATCTCTGCGTACATCCAGAATTTCTCTTGGAGTTTTTCGGGCTTTGCTGTGCTGTTGATGAGATCAGGGTTCAGCCCTGTCCTTTCGAGTGTCTCTGATTATTTTCACCGACACTTATATACTTGAAGGAGGCAGGGAAATTAATTTTGTAAATTAAAGCCTTTCCCTGAGAATTGTATGGATAGCCACATTAAAGTAATTATGTCTATTTCTTGGTACAATGGAGCTAAATGTTTTAAGAGACGAGATTGTGAGGAAAACCTAAGTCCTTTTCCTCTCCTCTGAATTACGAGTTGCCTCCCACAGAGTTATTTTAAGCCCCCACACGTGTCTAAAGCCTTGTAAAATGATTTCTAATAGTTGTTTCTGTTCCAGCTTTAGTATAATTTTCCATATATTAACTGTGCCAAATACAAATAAATTCACAAATAAATTACACTGCTTTGCTGCTCATCCCTGCTTAAGCTCCTGTTAATTTCCTTTTTGTTCTGGTATTTGTCACTCGCTCTGTTTTTCCCGGGTATGTGAATCCTTGCTATTCCCCCAGAGCTCTGCAAACCTCCCTGAAGTAGTTTTTTAATCTCCTGTTTTCCAAAGGCAGCAGCCACACCGTAGGTTTTCTAAACCTTTTCTGAATAATTAAGTTCTTGCATCATTTGGACTCTATTGCAACGTCCCAATTTGTAGCAACTCACTTCTCTAATGAGGTGACCAGTCCTAAGTACTATATTCCAAATAGAGGCTCACCAGCCCGTTCTGCAAAGCCAGAATAATTTATGTTATTCCTATAGATGAACAAGGACAGCTGAAGAAGAAGAAATATATTCCAACTTTCTGCAGGACAAAATCGGCACTGATCTTAATAAGGAAGGTTGAGAATTTGAACAAGTAGAAAGAAAAGATTACAGAGATATCAGCAGTTCGATTAGGTGTCAAATTCTAGCAATTTTGTTTGGGAATTATTTAATTACTCCTCTGTGATGTGGTGAGATGGACTGATCACCTAGTTAATCCCTCGTCAGATTGCTTTAAGGTAAACACAATGTGACTTTAATGTATAATTCCAGTAGGATCTATATTCCTGGAGACCTGGAGTTATTGCCTGACTGATGCAATGCATCATGTGCCCCAAGATGCAGCACTTGTGATCCTTGAGGCAGCTGGTACTGAACTGACACCAGTAATTTGGAATATAGGCACAAAAAGGTACTTGGGAATTTAGATTACAGTTTTGGTACAGGCTGCTACTACTCTGCTGGGAGCCTGATTTGCATGTGCAAAACAGTACAAGGAGCAGGAAATTACCAAATCAGCTAATGAGGCAGGGTCCGAGGGACTGCCAGCCCTGCAGGGAGGTGCCTTTTTTCATTTGGGGTGACAAGTACCAGGGCCTCTCTCAGAGTCAGGCACTTCACCTCTTTCAAAAAATGAGTCAGGCTGGTGCTCCAGTGCTGGCTGCTGAGGGCTGGCAAGACTCAGGCACCTCTGGGTGTGCCCAAAGAGGGAAAAGGCACCCACAGGGCATCCCTGGAGAGACACAAAGGCTGTCTGGACCTCCGCATTAGATGTTGGCTGAGCAGGAGCTCTGGTGATTGCTGCTGTTGGCCAAAGCAATTGTTAAGCCCCTAAAAGCTTGTATGGATCTAACTTGAAACTTCTTTTTCAGATGTGGTGTGAGGATATGGGAACCTGACTGATCAGGAAAGCACTTGGCAGTTCATACACGGTGCCCCAATTTGGACAGGCAAAGAACCCAGACACTTTGTGTTGAAGCTCCAAAATTACAGGAGCACAAGAATTTCCATTCCTCAATTTCTTCTTCAAGGGACAGTCACCCACCCACCTCAGGTTGCTAGCAACCCTCAAGAGATATGTTCCATCAGATCCACTTTCCACAGTTATCCCAGACTGTTGGACTGGGCATCTCACAACTATTGCATGCACTTACATACGTACAAGGCGGTGCTGAGGACTGGGAGGTTGGATGTTTCTTCCACCATTTCACCATTTACCACATCTGGAACATGTTTCTAAAACCCTTTCCAATCTTCCAGGAGAGTAGTCTGAGACTTGCAAATGTTTGGTGTTGTGAGTTGGATTTTCTCCAGCTGATTCTCTAGGATCTATTCTGCTGTAAAATGCCCTCTCCCAAGAGACAGAAAGAAAACAATCTGATGACTGAAGGAGCTCAGGGATGAGCTTTCAAACCTGTCACTGGGGCTGAGCCACCTTTCAGGACACAGGCAGTTTGTCCCTCTGGAGGCAAACACAGGACAATCCTGCAGGCTGCAGGTGGCCATCTATATTTCTCAAGGAGGTTGTCAGCAGGGTGACAAGGAGGAGATCTGGGTTCACCTTGATTTGCTGCCTGAGAAAGACCAACCTGTGTTCCCTGGAGAACTGCAAAAATCTTCCAGGGCGCAAGATACCAGGGAAGATGAGGAGAGCAGAGGAGAGCATTGTATGCCCTTTGCATGAAAAGAATTAAAGATTCATTGAGCTATAAGAGAAAGATCAAAGGTAAGTATAATTTTTAGCTTAGTGGTGAAAGCACCTACCTAATCTGGAGTTTCAGTCTTCCTCCGGAATCTGATTGTGAATTCCAGCCAGGAGGACACAATTCCTGTTCCAAAGACCAATACCAGCTGCTGAACTAAAGACTCCTCTGCACTTACTCTCTTTTCTCTCAGAAGGTTTTTTTTTTTTTTTTGTCTTCTCAGCTGCACATCCTTAGCACAAACTGAGCTCGTGAACTCAAGCATGTGGTTTGTTCCAAGTCCAACAAGAGCTGAACCATCTGTAACCCTGGCAGGATACAGCAGGATTCAGACCCACTGAGGAGGTGGAAATTCCAGGCAGAGGTGCAAGGTGTTGTACATTTGAAGTTCTTGGAGACTGAAGGTAGGTAGCTCCTGAGTTAGGTGCTTCTATGATTGGACTGGAGCTGAGAGAGCCTTTTGATTTCAATGCTGGATTTAGATATTTATATTCTGCTTTAATTCCTTCTTCTGGCAACTTTTTGGATTTGGCCATTAACTTGAAAATGTAAGAGCCATACCAGCTCAGATACCCTATTTAGCAAAAATGTCAAGATCAAAGTAAGTCTATACTCGTAGTTCCCTGGTATTTTCTCTTAATCTCCATCAATCCATGTCTTAAGGACTTCCTGAGCCATGGTAAAATACTTTTAAGAAGCTGAAATCAAGATTACTTTGAGTAAAGGCACTGTATCCTTAGATCCAGTACCCTCACCCATCCCAGTGTGTATCTTTGTTTTGTTGTCTATTGTCCTAATTGATGGAAGTTATGGATAACATTACATTCTGATCCTCTGAAATGCTTCATTCATTACCTTTATCATATCATCAGATAATTCTCATTTCCAAAATTATCTATCTGGAACTTGGTGTATTCAACAGCTAGTAAAACATAATACATATATTTCTTATACTAAAATGTTCACATTTCTTGTTAAAAGCACATTCAAATCTGTTAATGTTCAGAATGCATATAATAATTTTTTTCATTCACGAAATATAAAATGTAATGACACTGATTATTTTGGTTAATGGAGGGAAAAATTTAGAAATGGTTAGGTTTATTGTATTAGCAGCCATCATTCCCCACAAATATTGTGCACTTCTTTATGACCTGAGCTAGAGTTTCCAACGGGACTTGGTTTAAGAGCATAAAGCTCCATTTACTTCCATTTGATGGACCCCATGGGTACATGAGGTCCTGCACAGCAGCAAAACCATTTTCTTACACAGAACAAGGAGGGGAGCTGGCTCTTTTCTGACTGTCTGTAAGGCAGAGTTGCAATGGGCCACAGGCACTTGAGCTGCTGTAGCAATGCATAAATTTCTGTCCATACAGGCAGAATCATCCCCCTGTTCCAGCACAGTGCCCATTAGAGATCCTGCTGAAGGAGAAGCTTGCACACCACCCAGACAGACACTGCAGCTGCCTGGGCTTTGTTGGGTGTATCGATCCCTGTGAACTGCTGCTATTTGCATTTTGCCACATCCACTTGCTGCACAGGGGAGCTGGCTCTCCCTCTGTTGGACAAATACCTTTGAGTGTTTACAAGAGAGCAGCTTACAAACCCCAGAGCTGCCTTCAGGGCACTGCTTGGAGAAATACCAAAAGGTGTGGAGAGGATCAGTGAGAGCCAAATGCCTTCATATTCCCAAACTCAGAAGAAATCAGCCTGTGTTTTCTGGAAAAAAAAAACCAAAACTATAATAGCAACTGAACCTTGCTTCCCACTTTTGCCCTTGCTTTCTCTCACATCGGGGTGACACCCTGAAGTTAATGCATCAAGGATTAGATAAATTCTGTGAGAACGGAGCAACCTCAGACAA